TCCCGCGGGGGCAGAGCCCGGGCTGCGGCAGCCCCCGGGGCAGGACGGGGGGCTCGGAGGGGAGATAAGGAAACCAGATGTTTATGGGAGGGAGCGATGCGGGGCCGAGGCATTGTTCGGGGAGGAAACCTGCACCCACCGGGCTCGGCCTCCCCCGGCGCCGGGCGATGCCGAAAGGGATCCCATTCCTGCCCTGGAGCGAGGCTGGGGGCCCTGACCCCCCCGGCTGTTGGGGACGAGGGTCCCCTCGGGGGTCAGAGCCCTCTCCGGGGCTGGCAGCGTGTTTTCCCACCTGGCTTTAGAGTTGCCCAAAGCCCCAGCACTGGCGTGTGTGAGCGATGGGTTTTGGGGACCAGCAGTGGTGGGATGGGGGGAAACCCCAAACTGGGTGGCTCTGCAGGACTGGGCAGGGGGTCTGCCACCCCATTCCCCCCGTCACTGGCCGGCGTGGGGAAATGATGCCCATCCTGCCAACATGACCTGGACAGGCTGGAGAGTTGGGCAGAGAGGAACCTGATGAGCTTGAATAGAGGGAAGTGTTGGTGCTGCACCTGGGGAGGAATAGCCCCCCACACTGGGACAGGTTGGGGGTGACCTGCTGGAGAGCAGCTCTGAGGAGAAAGAGCCCATGAGTCGCCAATGTGCCCTTGTGGCCCCAGGAAGGCCAATGGCATCCTGGGGGGCATCAGGAAGAGGGTGAGCAGCAGGTGGAGGGAGGTCATCCTGCCCCTCTGCTCTGCCCTGGGGAGGCCCCAGCTGGAGCACTGGGACCAGTTCTGGGCTCCCCAGTTCCACAAGGACAGGGAACTGCTGGAGAGGGGACAGCAGAGGCTCCAGAAATGAGGAAGGTCCTGGAGCATCTCCCTTACGAGGAAAGGCTGAGGGACTTGGGGCTTTTTAGTGTGGAGAAGAGAAGACTGAGGGGGATCTGATCAACACCTGTAAATACTGAAAGGGTGGGTGTCAGGAGGATGGGGCTGGTCTTTTTTCAGTGGTGGCCAGGGACAGGACAAGAGGGAACGGGCACAAACTGGAACATGGGAAGTTCCACCTAAACATGAGGAGGAATTTGTTTGGTGTGAGGGTGGCAGAGCCCTGGCAGAGGCTGCCCAGGGAGGTGGTGGGGTCTCCTTCTCTGGAGACATTCAGACCCCACCTGGACACATTCCTGTGGGACCTGCTGTGGCAGGGGGTTGGACTGGGTGGTCTCCAGGGGTCCCTTCCCACCCCATGTGATTCCGTGACCCCTTCTTCTCCCTCTCCCTGGCTGCAGGAGGTGGTGGCAAGAGGAAAGGCAGGAGCAAGAAGTGGAGGGAGATCCTGCGGTTCCCCCACATCAGCCAGTGCGAGGAGCTGCGCAGGAGCCTGGGTGAGCCGGGGAGGGCACCGGGAATGGGCCGACGGGGCTCCCGGGTCCCAGCACGGCACCGGGGCCGCGGCGTGTGCTCGGCACGGTGTGTGGCACGTCCTGCCTTCCCTTGCAGAGCCCGAGTACGGCAGCCTGTGCCAGAAGCAGCCCATCGGCCGGCTGCTCTTCCGGCAGTTCTGCGAGACGCGGCCGGAGCTCCTGCGCTGCATCCGCTTCCTGGACGCCGTGGTGAGGGACCCCATGGGATCCCCCCCCTGCTCGGGGACCCCGGCTTCTTCCCGGGATGGGGCTGGTGGCGGGGTTTTGCCCAGTTCCCGGGGCAGTGGCAGTGGAGCGGTACCCGGGGGGGCTGCGGGGGAGGCAGGGACCACCCCATCCCAGTGTGCTGCGGGTTTCTCTCTGGATCATGCTGGAGGAAGGGGGGTGTCTCCATCCCAGCAAGCTCAGAGTGATATTCAGGCTGGATATTAGGAAAAATTTTTTCACCAAAAGGGTTTTCAGCCGTTGGAATGGGCTGCCCAGGGAGGTGGTTGAGGCCCCATCCCTGGAGGTGTTCAAAAGACGGGTTGATGTGGTGCTGGGAGAGATGGTTTAGTGACGGTGTTGCTTTTTGGTTGTTGTGGGGGTGTTTAATTTTGTCAAAATCAGGTTGATGGTTGGACAAGATGATCTTTAAGGTCCCTTCCAACCTAGAAGATTCTGTGCTGCTGGGGAGCCCATCCCACCCTGGTGTGAGGTTTACCTGGTGCCAGGAGATGCTGGGGATGGGGAACACGAGCCCCATCAAATGATCCATGTGTCCCATTGCTGCAGGGTGTGGGTCAGCAGTGGGTCCTACAGGGCTTTCCAGGGCTGGGGGGGACTTGAGGGGAGCAGACAGAGCCCCCTGGACATGCAGAGACCCCACAGCTTGGGGGGCTGCTGATGGGAAACGTGACAGCCCGTTTGTGCTGGCTCTTGGGGCTCTCGCAGGACATTCCCCCCCCCCTTTCCAATAACTAGAGCTGCCCAGGCTGCAGTGGGCCGGGGTCTGACACCCACCCCCTGTCCCCTCCCCTGCCCGCTGTGGGGAGCCGTGTGGGAGACCCCCGAGGGCTGCCAGCACCCCTGAGAGCCCCCGGGGTGGGCAGCTCCCCGTGGGGTGGGTGCAGACGGATCCCTCTCCCCACGGGGGGGACAGGGCAGAGCTGTGCCCCGTGCCCTCTCTGCAGCCCCCTCCTCTCCCCCGGGCATCCCAGGCGGACTACGAGCTCTCCCCGGATGAGAAGCGGAAGGAGATGGGGGAGGAGATCATCCGCCGCTTCCTCAAGCAGGAGGTGAGTCCTAGGGGGGGTTTCTTTCCCCCCCCCCCTCCAGGCAGCCAGAGCGGGACGGGGTGAGGATGGGATGGGAGCAGGGGCAGCACTGGGGGGTCTTTTTCTGGCCGTGGAGCAGTGTCCCCTCTCTCCTGGCATCCCGGTGGCACCCATGGCCCAGCTGGGATCGTGGGGGGGGGGTCAGGGGGGTGTGGGTCTGCATCCCTCTGCTCCCCTCGCAGTCCCCGGATTTCCTGCCCGAGGTGGGGCAGCCCCACGCCAGCCGGTGCCTGCAGGACCTGCAGAAGAGCCCCTGCAAGGACCTCTTCAGTAGCTGCCTGTGGTGAGTGTCCTACCCCGGGG